ATAGGGTGTGTGTGTGTGTGTGTTGGTGGGGAGTCCAAATATACCAAAACAAAACGAGTTGCTGAACATTTTTGATGCATTTGTTGATGATTTAAGGAACAGATGTAATTCATTTTCACCAATTATCTGTTTGGCTCTCTTGCAGGAGATGGCAGCTGTAAAGGAATTTATCGAGAAGTATTTGCCCCGAATCTGACCTCACCTCATTCCCACTGTGACCTCCCCCTCCTCCTCCCCCCTCTGAGACACTGACCTCTCACCCCAGATCTGCCATTCTCCCACAGGAAACAGCCATGAGCACCCTCTCTTCCACACACATCGACAAGATAACAAACGCGCGCATAAAAAAAAATACGCACATTTAAAAAATAATGATTCGATCCACGCCGCTAAACTAAACATACGCTTCTACATGCTGCCCAACTCACCAACACTCGCACTGAAAACTTGTCGAACACACTAATTGGATAATAACATAACCAAGTGCTCACACTCACAAGTCTTAGCCTTTTCGGAGGGAGAAACACTGACTCACACAATACATTCCCTTTGGTTTTATTTAAACATCCTCTGTCTGTCGCCTCCGCACAACCTCAGTCCTTCTCCACTTTTACCTCATTTTGCTTAATCGTGTTAATTTTTTCCCCAGCTGTCACATCCTCCATTGCTGTTACTGCCCACGCCTTTCTCTCTTACATTACCGTGTCAGTTTGTGAGAGATAAACAGGTTAACATCTACCTGGTTATTGTCATCAAAGTGCAGTCAGACCTGATTTCACTTCCCATTCATTACCATGTGGAACAGGCCGAGACACATTTTGCTTCTTGTCACGAACTGACCTGCCTCCTTTCAGTTCAGAGTTAAATCTGATCGAACTTTCACACGTTGAAATCTGGAGGCTCGCCCACATCCAGGCAGTTTTGAGAGTAAAAGGTGTGACAGACTTCTCATTCAGGAAATATCGGTTGTTTATAATCTTCCTTTTTATAACTGCACAGTGAACTAATGGACGCTGCTTTGGCTGCGGTTTAATAAAACGCTGTGTAATTTTACAACTTTATAGCCAGGCTAGCTCCCGCGAACACGTGAGCCAGGTGAGATTGGGCCTGGCTGCAGCTCCACTCCAGTGTTGCAGTCCCACAGAGTCGGACTCGGGTGCAGTGAGCGCTGGTTTTTAGAGGTAGAGCAGCTGATTTCCCACCTAACCCCCATCCATCCCACCTCCCACCTCCCACCAACCACATGACAGAGCACTGCAGCCTGTCCGGGTCTTGCATCTTTAACTTTGACCACTTGACTATGAACGCCCCCTTTTTTTATTAAAGTACTAACATCCATGGGGGGGGGGTTTCTTCTTCTTTTTTTTAATGAGTGTGATAAAATATCTTGAATTATATGAATAAAATTCCAACTGAAATAAAAGAAAACTAATCAATCGATGCTTTTGCCACCCGGTGCTGTTTATTTCACACCTGCATGTTAGCGATCTTTTCCTGCTCTGATTATGTGATTCTTTATGTTCAATTACCTCACTTGACTTCCTTTTTTGTTTGTTTTTGTTTTTTTAAATAAGATTGTAGGCTTAAAGGGGAATGACTGACCAGTATGAGTTGCATGAAATAATGCATCACTGCAGAATGGTTGCAGGCCCGCACAGACTGCACACCATGAGTCGCTTCACTGTTCCTCCCACCGACCTTTCCTCTTTTAGAAAAAACATTTTCCCCTCATTCAAGTGTTCCTGTTTCAGCATCCGCCGCCACCCATGAACAGCCTCCTCTCTCCATTAGTCCCAGTTGTTCTTGTCTTCTTCCACGACAAACAAAGCAGTCCCGAGTTTAAAACTGGTGTAGAACATTTATTGAGTATTCACTTCCCAGCTCCCTCCTTTGGCAACATACTGTAACCCACTAATAGAACATAAAAGGTCAGATTTAAAGTTAAACCCAACTCTATTATAGTTCACGTATTAAAACAAACAAATGGCTATACACAGGGAGAGCTTTGGCAAGAAGCTGTTCCAATGTAACTGAAGGGTGATTTTACAAATTTAAAATAAAAAGTTAATCTTGAACAACTTGTAATCCTTGGACATAAGAGTGTAACTCTGAGGAGTCGTGTGTGCTTAACACACACACATATATATATATATATATATATGTGTGTGTGTACATATATCAGGTGTTCTGCATTTTCCTTTGTGAATGTTAATTTTGCTCTCCTCATGATTTATCTGTTCTATATTCCTGTTTTCGAACCTGATTTAAGAAAAAAAAAGGGCAAAGGAGGAAAGACATCTGTTTTGATTGTTCACTAATCAATGAATGTCTCCTTTATCTCTGAGTCCTTATATGTTTTCCCATCACTCTAAAATCTCTGATGCAGCCCATTTGCTTCTCTTTATTTAGTCTTTTTTTGTCCTCTTTGATACCTTCAAAAATTATTTTTTAATTATTTCAACATTTCCCCCGATGTGACGATGTCACATCGTCTCCTGGGTTGTTTGTTGTTGTCAGTTAAACTTTCTACTTGTGTTTTGTTTTGTTTATTGGACTTATGTTTTGTTGTGTTTTGTCACCGTTGTCATCTTATCCTTTTTTTTTGTGTCTGTTTATAATGATGAACATTAAGAAAACATGTTGAGGTGAGACTGGTGGTCTCGCCGCTGTTTTTGTTTCCAAAACACCTGTATGCGGAATAAATGACCAAAAAAAAGTATTTCTTTTGAGCGTCTTTCATTTTCCATTGCTGGATTTACTGTATATCAGATGATGGAATAACTTGGTAAAATATAGATATGAGGGAATAAAACAGTAATAAAATAATGAAGTAAACACCACATGTGTACTCGACTGGAATAGTAGTGTAATCAATCCGTTAAGGGTCCAGTGTGTAACATTTAGGAGGATCTAATGGCAGAAATTTAATGTAATATTCAAAATAATCACCTCAATATAGGAATTGTTATGTTTTTAATACCTTAGAATGAGACCGTTCTAAAAGTCTACAGATTCTGGTGGATGGTGTTGGACTGTAATGGAATAAAGTGTTATCAGTGCTTTAATATATACTAGAATCCTTGTTACACAGAAAGTCATGACCTTGTGATCCTTTTAAATTCTGTCAAGTCTCAAATAATCTAATTGGTGACTCAAGTCCAAAGCTCTGTCTTATAATGAACATTACAGGCAAGTTTCCAAACCTTTTTTTAAATATAGTCTTGCCTCTGCTTAATAAACTGGTCTGCTCAAGCACAAATATAAAAATGTAAACAGGTTGGAAAAAAACTGGGTGAGTTTAAACACCCTTTATTAAAGCTCTGTTAACTCAGATTGGTGAAAGAATTACATTTGATGACCATTTTAACACATTATGATGATGAACTATGATCACTGTGAGTGTTTAAACAAACAATAGTGCTAACTGTATGTATGTTAATGAATAAGTTGTCAGGTTTTTGTGTTTTGGGGAAGTAATTGTTAAATTGTTGTTTAAATATAGTCTGCTTAATAAACTGGTCCGCTCAAGCACAAATATAAAAATGTAAATAGTTATTTTGCTCATTATTTTGGCTACATTTTACATTCATAAAACAATAATAAATATTTTAAGAGACAAATTCCTTGTATGTGAACACCTGTCTGTAAATCAGTCTGCTGCTCCCCGTCGGGTCCAGCAGGTGGCGGTAATCACCTGTCGAGCTGCGGACCAATCAGCGCAAGCGTCAGAGCTGCGGACCAATATCGGCCGGGTCGGGGGACCAATTCAGGGCCGGGGCGCGGGACCAATCAGCGGCCGGCGGGGACCAATTCAAGCGGCCGGGGCGGCTCTTCTGTTCTGGGAAGGAAGGACCTTTTTATACAACGACGTTTGTCGCAGCATTTTAAGTGAGCTACGACACTGCAGGACGCCGGTAGAGACCGTTGTTACTCAGAATATCTTCACCACGTTTGTTAATGTGTTTTTTTTAAGTTTTCGCTGATATACGA